GGCATATATCTATTCACAATTAAGAGGAATCTAGGCTATTTTTCCAAGCAGGCTTTATATGTACTTTTATGACTCAGTATTTTCACCCCAGTGCATATAGATCATGTTTGCATATTATGAACATATCATACCCTTAAAAGATAATTCTGAGAGAGGCAGACACAGACAAGTGCTATTTTTGGTATCTTAAAATTCTTATTATAGGCCCAATTTTCAAGCACCATCTCTTTAACAGTATGTCCAATATCCGAGAAGCACAAAGGCATTTAAAATGTGCCTAAAGCCTTAAAATTCAACCTACCTTACAAGGAGTTTCCTACCTTGCAAGAGGAATGGTCATTGTGTATCACTGGGTCCCTGTATACAAAATAAAAACAAGAACAGAAAATAAAAACAAAAGACCATTCCCCATCCTGCAAGTCAGGTGGGATTTTAAGGACTGAGAACAGAAAATGGCATTTGAATGTCCTGTTTAAGAGACAGCATTTGAAAACTGGGCTCAGTCGGGTAAAAAAAGAAAGAAAAAATAAGACAGATAGAAAGAAAAGAAATTAAGTCATTTTTGCAATCTTTTATCCTGTGAGACATGTACTTTTCACACCAAGGAAAGAAAATCAAACCACCACAAGTTATCCAAAACATTTATTTTAAGCTTTATAAGAAGTTAATGAACATGGAATAATGAACAATTGAAGAAAAAAGGGAAATGGCAAGAAAAAAAAAATTTGGGTGAGATGCAGGAGATTGTCGTGCATCTCCCTGGTTCCTGAAAGAGAGAGAGAACATATTAAAAAAAATTGAAAACTTTTATATTTATGCAATTGTATCACACTGGAAACATTCCTGTCTTTTTTTTTTTTACTGCTCATAAATAACCCATTGCTCTGAATGCAGTACTACATATTTAGCTGATGATGACTCATAAGAGTTCTCTTCTCACAAATGCCAGAGCATTCCCATTCACATGGACCCAAATGCCACAAAAACATGTTTCCTTAAACACTTACGATTTCTTTTCCAGCTTTTCCCACAAACTGTTGTTTTATTTGGATAGTTAGGAAACCTTCTTCAATTGCAGTTCTGTGACAAAGAAAAACAACTAAGTACCTGTTATGAAAGGGCTTCAAGTTTAGGAATAATCAGATTAATGCAATTTAAAGTAATAAAAATTCATAACAACAACAACAATAATAACAACACTGATTGCAACTGACAGCTGTATGTTTATGTGGAGACCTAAAAAACCTCATTTCTATTCACTACAGTCAGTGTTTACAAGAGGGACAATTTTATGTGCCCAACTTTAGACACAGACCCTGACTTTCAGAAGCGTCCAGCAATCACTGTTTACCTACTGACTTCAGATGAAATTGCCAGAGTTTGTTTCTGAAAAGTCAGACTTAAAGCATTTACAGCTGGGCACCCAAAATTATGGATACTTGAACATGTAAGCTAAGTCTTTTCTTTCCCCAATACTCTAACTCCAAATACTTTTCTTTTTAATATTTTAAGATATCATAGCTATGGCAAATATGTGGGCCAGATTCTATTCTCTGCTGCACTGGTGTGAATCCACAGTAAATTCTCTCAAGTCTAAATAATCACTTTTAGCTTCATCAGTATAAATGAGAGCAGAATATCTATAATCACAAAAATAAGAGAGGCATACAAGTTCTAAAATCTGTCCTCAAAAACCATTACTGCATGTCCTTGTAATGGTAACAATTCAAAGATTCGTTATCATTACTTGTGACTACAATATCAATTAACACTTCCAATAAGTAGCAAAAATATATTACTTACAAGAACATTCTACAGGTACTCTTCATTAAACCTGGAGCTGCAGTGCCATTTTTTTCTTATCTTTCAAATGTAGTGTCTGGTGAAGGTCTGGAAAACCTTTTTCCTATTTACAATCAATGTTGGTAGCGGAAGTTATCAAGGGAGTTGCAGAAGGGGTGTTATTTCCATTTTATTTCTGCAGACAAATCTTGGTCATATATTCCACCATGTTGAAATTAAAAACGGTTTCTGAATCCAGGGACTTCTGTGCATGATTTCTTCAAACAGGGTAACTTTTTTGTTTCAACCTTAATATAGCATTCACATATTTATTTGCTCTGTGATTTCATTGTTTCAGATGTGTGCCACCTTTGAAACAATGGACAACAGTAATGGAATGGAGCATGAATGTTTGTTGGAGGACAGAGCCAATAATATTCATTTTGAATGCTATAACGGATATTTTTCTCGTAAATAAATACTATTACTTGATGCCAGATACCCAACAGACTTCTGTGCTGATGATTATTATATACCTGCAAGATTGTAACAGCATGTAATCTGGCCAAAAGTAGGGAGAGTCCTACAATCTACATTTATACCTTAAGTCCAATAAAAAAAAATAAATGTTTTCTTTTTGAATTGGATACTAAAAGGATACCTTCTAAAAGTTTCCAGCCATCACTAACCCAGTATTTTGTAATCCAAATTTGTTTTCCTCTCATCTAATCCATACTTTGTTGTATTACTGTCTTCGGTAGGCTCAGCAAAAATGGAATTATATCTGTGTTATCTCCAATTCTTAGTTTCTCTCTTGGCCTTTTAAATTTCTCTACTCCAGCTAAAACAGCTAATCCTTGCTTTTCTCTGCAGAGGCCCTAAAAAATCTGAAGTTGCTTGATAAATCAAATCCATTCTTTGCTAGAAAATCATGAGATCTTTGGACCTTTTTGGATGTAGAGCATACATCATAATCAAAAACTTAACTAAAATTAAATAGTCAAAATATTAATTGAAGATAAATTAAAAGCAGCTTTTCACAAGGCACATGAGTTCCACCTATTTATTTTTTAATGACTAGAGTTCAAGATTCTCTTAATTCTTTTAAATATAAATTTCAAATTTCCAACATTATTTGTACGACTACTGAAATAAAATGACAAATTATGGTGGGGAAAAACATATCACTTAGAGGTCTATGTCATTTGATTAGTGAATTGGAAAGATGACTTTTTAGCTGATATTTTATTAATTTTTGTCGTGAGGGTAATAAATGAAGTGCAATATTATGAAGATTTTCTTCCCCAAATAGCCAATTAAACAATTTTGTTTACAAATATACCATAAGTTAAATAAATTCATTTTTACTTTTTTAATTTGTTTCTCCTCTTTACTTATTTTAATTTACTGCATGACATTTTTATTTGATCTTCCCCAAGACTGATAGGGGCACCTGCACACACCCTAACTGTGGCTTTAAAACATGATGCTGCAACATAAAAAGATTTGTTACCTAACAGACTGCTATGTCTCACTCATTCACTAATTCTTTACCTACAAGCAACAAAAGAAAAAACAGAAAGGATTCTTACTTTAAAAAAAGTGTGTTTTGAAATCTGATGCTGTCCCTCTGTAGTGGGCAATTGTGGTGAGCAGAAAACCTCAGTGCAGCAGACTTAGTATTGTTGAGGTTTCAGTGGTCTGTGATATGATAACTTGAGTAGAAGCTAGAATAATGCCTATGTAATTTTTTTTCTTTGAGGTTATATGACAAAGTTTTTATTACCTAACTGGAACTTTTATGTATGGATGTTAAATGGTATCCCCGATCTGAAGAGAAGTACCAACAGCCTATATACCCTTCCCCTCATCCAAGCCAAAAACAAGCACACTCTCAAAAAAGTCTCCTCCCCGTCACCTATAACTAGAAAACATTAATTTTATCAAGTTATCCTACAAAAATGAATGTAAAAATTCTTGATAGTCATATAATGAAAATATATTTGTTTCTATAAAAATCTTATGTCAGAAAACCAATAACTGTTTATTCCTTCATATTCTGAAGAGACAGTTTCTAAGTAATCTTGCTTTGAGCAATAAATGTACCAGCAGTTGATCTTGCTAGCAGCAGAAAACAGTTCCAACATAATGAGAGAGCAGGAAAGATTTAAAAAAGCAAAAATGAAGAAAAAGAAAACAACTAATTTACTCTGTATTATCCTAACAAGATATAGGAGAAATAGTTCACTACTGAAGAGGCATGCTACCTACAAATAAGCTTCTCTATCAGCAATCTTAACTTTCCTTCCACTGATTATAACTATACTGAAGTATCACACAGAGGCTCAGTCAGGACTGAGGCCCTCCCTTAGGCAAGGTGCTATGCAGACACGTAAAGAGACAGGCCCTGCCCAAAAGAGCTTACAGTCTATGAAAGTAAGTGATATACAAAGGGTGAGGAAAAGAGGATACAGCTAAACACAAACAAACTTGTATATACATATGTATATTTACATTTTGGTAAAATATTAAAGGTCAATCTATCTGCCCCTCCACCTGGCCATCATTAAGTGGATGACTGCTGTATAGAAATCCCAGCAAATGTGGGTCTCAAGGAGAGATTTAAATGAGAAGAGAGTAGTGGCCTTATGGAACAATCAGGGAGGGCATTCCATGCATACGGGACAGTGTGGAAGATGTTATATTAAAAACTGAAATTGTGCAGAGCAGAATTTCTCCAGGTCAGAGTTTAAGCTGTGTGTGAAGTCCCTATTTCCTGAGACAGACAGTGTGGTTATGTGAGTAACATTTGGCCATTAGGAGGGCAAGTGAAATCACTCATGTAGGACTACACTGATATCATGTTACTTGCCACTGTTTCTCAGTGATTGCCAGTTAGCACAGTAACTCTGAGGGGAGGATATGGAAGGGTTTGGGAAAAAAATCTGAGACAGAAGAAAAATGGGGGTGGACGGAGAAGAGAACACGAAGGAAGAAATGAGGGAAATATTTTCAAATGTGTTCTTCTGACTGAAAGTTAGTTCTTTATGTGTTTGCAAGGTATTAGCTAAACAACTAAAAACATACACAATATTTAATGTACGTTTGACACCATAAAATAAACTGGACCATATGCCAACATTTATAGTTATGCTATTATCTTTCACTATGGAAAGGTGAGAAACAGATTAAACAAGAGACAAAATGCTTCCCCTTACCCTTCTTCTTCCGTACTGAAGCTTGGAAACAGAAAGGGAATGAACTGTAAATCAATTCTGAAGGTAAGCCCATTTTAAATGCTAAATTCTTGACTGATTTTTGAACACAAACATTTTTCTTCTATTCTTAAGAGGTCAATCTCTCCATGCTAACTGTGGATTGTGCATGTATTTTTCAAACCACTTTAAACAAACATCTTGGCATAGCCCAGTTTGTCAGGGTTTATACTTTGACTATATAGAAAATTACTGAGTTATAAAACTTAGATACCTCGGCTATGCAGTGTGAGATTTATTTTTTAAAATTAAAAATAATCAATTTGGGCACTTATGATATATAAATGGGCTATGAAAATAGGGCATTTAACATCATTGCAGTTCGGAAGTGGAATGAATTGTAGATACATTTTATATGCCATTAGTTAATACTTTGGATTAATTTCTTTGTAGGATAACAGCAACTGCCATTGGTTAGCAGTAGATGGGACACCCATGCACTATTATGGAGAACAGAGTAAAATATGTTAATACAAGCAGAAATAGAAGGGGTTTGGAGACAGGCAACAAAAGTGATGGGAGAGACTTCCATATGGAGAGGTTGAAAAGATTAGGACTACCTAGTTTAGAGAGGGGACAGGATAGAGATATACAGTATAATGAATGATATAAAAGGAAGGGAATTCCTTTTTACCCTTTCTTGCTATAGAATAACAAGGGAACATTCAATGAAATTAAAAGGCAACACATTTAAAACTGATAAAAGAAAATACATTTGTACATAGCACATAAGTAGTGGAAACTCTTTGCTACAAGACATCATTGAGACTGAGTTTACTAGATTTAGATGAACGGTGGATGTTGTCATTATTCACATATATAAATCTAGTATAAATACACACACCCTCTCTCATACTTCAGGACATAAACCAACCTCTGTTCAATGGGAGTAATAAGAACTTTTCTGTATGAGCATCTTATTTCATTATTGTCCACTATAAGGTTTCGTGTACCTCCTGTTTATAGCCACAGCTAGTGACAGTACATTAAACTAGGCAGACCACTGATTTTATCTAGAATGGCAGCCCCTATGTTCCTTGGGCTGGTGAATGTTAATATCATGGACATGACGACTGTAATCTTGTAGGCACAGAAGAATTTATGCAGTGCTATACAGCCTTTTAGGGGATAATGAACCTCTGGATTGAGTTTAAACAGTATTCTTTGGACCAAGAAAGCCTTGAAAATGGAGCGTTTGTTTAGTCCCATCAGGATGGAAGTGTAGGGAAAGACATGCTTTAAAAAAAAAGAAAGTGCAGGTAGCTTACTGATTCTCAAAATAGTTTCTGATTGGGATGCCAATAGCCATAAAGCCTCCACTGTATGGAGCTAATGAATACCACCTGAGATAAGTAGGGCTAGGATTGAAGAATGCTCCACCTTTGGGTAGAGAACACCTCCAGCTACACAACAACATTTTGAGCCAGTTAAAGCACTGTTCTTTCCTGAAGTCATTCTTTCCAGTCCTCCTTTGCTAGAAGGATGGTATGATTCCCCTGCTCACATACACATACTTGGGATTGCTGTCACTGAGCAAGTGCGAGCATAAACAGCAGTGTATTGTAGTGGCAATGGAGACACGACTTAGCCGTACTGAGTACGTACCTATGGGGTTCAGGAGGGCTTGTACTTTGCACAGTTAAGTCGTGGCTTCACTGCGGCTACCTGTGCCACTGCAGCAAATATTGGTATTTATACTTGTGCTAGCTTGAGAAGAGCCAGCACAAGCACATGAGTGAGAACAGGGGACTCACACCCCTCTCTCATAGTGTAGATGTACAGAAGAACTGTAAAGAGGGAGAATTATAGGAGTCTCCTCAGGCTCCATAGTGACATGGAAGACTTTGGTGGTGGGCGGGTAGGAGGGCTGCCTAAAGAATATTTTGCTTATAGCAGATTTGCATGATAAACCAGAATGGTTTAAAATTAAACAAAAGTTTAACACTCTATGAAAGAAAAAAGTCTCACATTTTAAACCCTGGAGGAAAAATATTGATAATTAACAGATAATAAAAACTTACATTCAAAAAGGTTATGACAAAAAATAATCAAAGCTATGAAAATCTGAGATTTGTACCATCACCAAACTAGCCTAAACTAATAGATGTTTTTACTTGGTTGTAATGTGACCCAAAATAGTTAGGGCCCTATTCAGTACCCCTTTCTTGGTCAGAACTTCCACTTAAAGACAGTGAGAGTTTTCATCCCTTAAGGGATGGATAGTGTCCTTCCTTCCACAGAATGTTAGCGCTTTCGAACCTTTATTTTATTAATGTGGCTAATTATCTACAAGACTTGACTCCTTTCATCTGAATGAATGTTAATTAATGCCTAAAATAAAATGATTATGAAACCTGTATTGTTAAACTCATGCAGGATCATAGTAAGGAAAGAAGAGACCTAAGAGATGATCAAGTCTATTATTCTGTAAGTGAGTGATATAGTTCCTTTATATAATACACATCAGATATTTATCCTAGCCAGATAGCTGTATCTAAACATACATTTATTTTTGTCTTTTGCAAATACTGTCAGATAACATATTTGATAGTCTAGGCTGCTGAAGTACCACTTTTCTCCTGACCCAACAGGAAAAAAATATTCCTTTCTTCCAGTCAGAAATCCCAAGCAGTTATACAAATCTACAATATACACCCTACTGCTGGGACACCTACATTTACATCACTTAGAATTAGTGAGTCAAAGACTAAATGCTCATCACTTTGCATTGCTAAAAGTTAACGGAATACTCTATTAAGTTTGTGTTCAAACAGAAGAGTCAAAGTGATATTAATATATACACATTTTCAGATTAGAGAGTCTAAGTTGCAGCTGCAGGTGTACTGCTTTAACAACTGTCAACTTTTCAACAATGGCTTCTGGCAACTTACCTTTATCCACTAATGAGAGGCCACAGAAATTTAAAATAAAACAATATTAGATGAACTGAAAGATTAAAAAGCAAGCTAATAAAATATGATACAGCATTACTGTGCCAATCTTTGATGATGCATAAAAAAAATGTATCAACATTCTCTTGCAGAGCAGTAAAGGCACACATTTAAAAAAAAAAATCACTCATGCACATCATGCATAGTTTGATCTCTCCAGAGATGCAGCATTCCTGAAACTTTTCTATATCATGTACTATCCAGGGTGCAGTTCCTTTAAAATAATTTTAAGTTTTCTTTACATCTCCATTATCTCAGCATGCTTGTTAAAAACACTTTCTTACCAAGCTCTTCAAGCTCTGAGGTCATTGACTTAGACCGCAAGGTCAACGCAGTGGTTGGAGCTCGCTTTGGAGGTGGTGGGGCTTTGCATTAAATAGAAGGATATACAGTATAAGTAAATATACATCTCCAAAGCATAGTATATTCACATATACATTTTTTAGATTCAACCAAAGATTATCACATGGAATACACATTTTTATTAGATTTTAAAAATCTATCTCCAATATATTCATTATAGGAATATCAAATACACGTACACAGTAATTTCTTTGGGGGCAGGAAACAAAACATTCAGTATGCTTTGTGAAGGGCCAGGAGCTTTTCATGGATTGTATTTCTAACCATTTCTGGCTTTCCTACTGGTTAGTCAAAAAGATCAGCAGGCTTATAATGATATACAGCAGAAATCTTTAAGCTAAGTGTTTATACACCCGTATTTTTAAAATGTACCTAACACATTGTGTATGGGCACATAAAAAAATAACTTTAAAAAGAGTCTACCTCACAATCCTTTATGTCATCCTTTCAGGCAGTAGCCCAGGGACACAGATATACTTTACACTATGTCCTGAAGGTCAGCTCAGGCTCTGAGGAAAATGAATTCCAGCTTTCAGTAACCTCCTCTGAAGATACATAATTCAGAGCGCACAAGCTAATCTCAGTGGTCATGATAGGAAAAGAGGTGGTTCCTCAGGTAGCTAGGAGCCAAGTCATGTAGGTCTTTAAAGATTAATGCAAACATCTGGTTTGTACCTATAGGCCAGTGCACAGTCTTTGGAACAGTGATGTAAAGTTAACACTGCTAGAGAAGTAGTAGAGCATTAGATTTTTTGCACCACATATAGCTTCCAAGTACTTTTCAAGGAGTGCTGCACTGTAGAACAAATTAAAATAACTCTCTCTGGAAGTCATAAAAGAGAGTCATATGTCATAGAGAAATGGTCTTCCATCATGACAAATGTAGATAGGAAAACTGGGGACTTCTGGGACACCAGGAGCAATCAAGGATCCTGAAGTATCCCAGAACTATGAAGCACCTTAACAAAGAGTAGCAAACAAATCAGGGAGACAGACAAAATTCATGCCATACTCTCTAGGTACACAAGCATCCCCTCCATCCTATCCGAATTAAGGCTCATTCACTTTGCTGTTATCCAAGCTTCTGTCAGTTAGACACTGGGAAAGTAAAGACATAGCATTGTCCAGACTCCATGATAAATATGCAGCTGTGTCATGAATATACTAATTGCACAACAGGCCAAACTGCCTCACTGTCTCCTCCAGTGGCCTTGCAGATACATTGAACAAGAGGAATGAAAACAATCTGTTGAGAAGTCTGTACAAGAGAGATGTTTAATCATCACCTGACCCTTTGTCCATCACCAGGAGGAGATCTTCAGCCACAGAGACCTGGATAGTCTCTGTACAATTCCCAAACCAAGACCATGGTTGACAGGGATCAAAGAAATCTGTGATCTCCAAGTGATTCGAGTGTTGCCTTGTCATCACTTTCTAAATAATCTTGCCCCCCAAAAGGGGGATTATAAAGATGTTAATTTGCAAAAAGTCAACATCAAGAGAAAGTTCATTGAGTAGAGGACTGCTTGGCTTGAGAAAAGCTAGCAACCTGTCCTTCCGTAGGGAAGCGTCAACATTCACAAATTTACAAGTTCCCTTTATTTATGGGCAGAAAACATAACCTATGTCAGTATAAAGAAATGCTAGGTGTGTCTGGAACATGTAGCAGTAAGATAAACCAATTCTATCAATACAATTGTTAAAAATAAATGAAGAAAGAGTAGTTGGGTAAGATTTATTTGGGCTCAGTATATTTTCTTCTTTTTAGGTATTCTAATTTTTAAAAATCTAAATTCCCAGTGGATTATTAAAAAGCAAGGTAAACAGAGTGCAGTTCTTTAAAAGGCATGTCTTTGAACAGAAATGCATGTAGTAGGACTGGTATTCATTTGTTCAATCCCTCCCATTCAAAGACTAGTGCAGGCATGACTAAAGTCTGGCCCACAGAATTCAACAGTGTTGATGAGGTATGGGGGGAGAGCTGATCTTTAATATGTAGGATTACCTCAAGGAGACCTCAGCTGTCAGGTCACGCTGATCAGTATGGAACATCCATGTTAGGAACAGAGAAGTTAGTGTGTGTGTCACTGTTGTATGGACGAGGAGGTCAGCAACAATATTCTCTGATTAATACAAATTATGTGCATTCAGTGGTTCCTAACAAGTTGCTACTACAGTTCCTGGTTGAACAAACTTTGGGTACACTTAATCAAGTGCAATTAAAAAGTTATTTGGGGAGATTCAATACCAAAAAAAGTAAGAATACAAAGAACTGTCACATCTCTTATGGGTATAGTCTAATTTCAGTACATGGGTTGCCGCACATCAGTCCCCATTAAAACTAAAGAGTTAAAATAAATTCATGATTTGTGTTAACTCTTTAGCTTTAATGGGAATAAATGGGGTGCTTTTAGGTGAAAAAGCTCCTATTTGGTACAAAGATACTACATTCTGAAAGTAATTTTGCTATGTTTGAAGTTACACCAAGTCACCCTAAAATATCTGCTCCCTTACTGAAGCAGAAGCTTCTCCCTTCTCCAGAGGTGGTAACGGAGGTGGGCACAACACCCTTTCCTCTGCTATAAGCTGAGGGAGAGATCCCCTTCTTCTTGGCTAGAGTGATGATAGCTCCCCATCCAGTTTCAATCTATTTTAACCAGTGAGCATCTCAAAATGTATTGCTTTCTTATTAACATGTCAAGCTAAATATTTTAGTGCTTCATTTTCTTATTTTCACAGATGCAGTATTTTCAAATGCACTCAACATTAAAATTCTCATGGGACTTTAATAGGAGCAGAATTAGATTCGGGCCCAAGTCCAAGCAGGTTTTAAAATCCCAGCCTTTTTGCCTAGAGCTTTGAGTAAGGGACAGATTTTTTTTTCATCTCCCTCAAATACTCTAACATATTAAAAAGTCTGAATATAAATTCTTAAAAGCACATTGCAGAATGATCTAGGAAGATGGACTTCAACAGTGAACATGACAACAATGAACTATATCTTGTTCGGCACAGATATACCTATAAACGAAGTCTGGCTTTTTCTTCAGCAAATGTAAATAGCTTGTAGATTACATAGTAGAATGCTGTTGCATATTTGAGATAAGGAATATATAATATAGCAGTAACTAAAATAATGTAAATAGTCTCCAGCCTACATCTTGTTTTTCTTAAGAGCAGTACCAGAACAAATTCAGGCAGCAAAGAAAAAAAATGTACCTTTCTTTCTAGCTGTATCATCTGGATCAAGATTTCTGGTTACTGTGACAACCTTAAGAACTAGATGATTACCCCCTTGTCGAATCATGTTCACCACCTGCCTGTGGCCAACTTTCACTACATTTTCATTGTTAACCTACAAGGGAAAAAAAAAGACCTTATTTTAGATAAGAATTAGGAAAAAAAATTCTTTCAATTTTAAAAATGGGGGAGAGCAGCACAGGAAATTACAGAATTTCTATATTTTTAAATAAGGAAAATCCATTACAAAAATGGAAGTCAACTGACATTGCAACAGGAAAAATATAAACTAGATCTTAAAATATATGCATGATTCTTTTATTTCCTTCTGATTTCATGGATAACCATGGAAGAGATTTGGGTTAGTTCAGAGTTAAATGTCACGTCACTTTTTTTTTCCTCTATAGAGTACAAGGGGCAAAAATATTGATTTTCTTAAGTTGACTATACTTCTACATTACCTGCAAATATTTATGTCTACTGTTTTTCCTTTCATACGCCCAACAGGATATTTAGAGGGTTTTCATTTCTATTCAGATCCAGGAAATAATTCAATGTCACCCTTTTGAAGAATTCTGACACTTAACAGGCTCTTTTATTTTATGCTCTTCTCTGTTTGCTTTTCAGTGCTCTGCCCTTTCCCCAGCTCTGCGGGAGCCCAAAGTAACAGAGGCAATGACAGCAGGGCTAGCACAATCCAAAAGCATTCTCACAGAAAAGGAGAGTAACAGTAAGTTAGCTATTGCGTAACCCTAACCTATTACAACGGCACATAGTCTGCAGACATGAGCTATAGTTCGGGCTCTGCCGCTGTGTATGTGACCTTGGACAAGTCATTTTGCCTACTCTGTGCCTCAGTTTCTCTACTTGTAAAATAGAGGATATAGAATGCTTATCTTTGGAAAGAACTTTGAGATCTTTGGATGAGAAGTGCAATATTAGTGTAAAATATTATTATATTGGAAAACTATTGGATCTCTGATATTGGAATAAACCTTTGAGATTTATATTTAAGTCACCGTGTTCTACGGCTGGCTGACTATACTGAGTGCCACTGATTGAGCCTGGAACTGTCCTTAATGAAACTGTTCAAAAATTATTCAGAATGTCAAATGGCACAATAAATATTTTCACTGAGCTTAATAATTAATAAAGCAAGACATTTTACTTCACATCTTTTACAAAATCACCACCAGAAAATACAATATACTACTAAACTACCACTCATGTGGCATCCAAGATACGTTACACATGGAGTCATGCATCAACATTGTCAATATTTTAACTGCAGGAAGGTGCTTTCCATCTGATATCCTTTAGCTACTTTGACCACTGTGATAGAACGTCTCAAACAATGGCATAGCTTGAGTTCACTTCTACATATGGCCAAATGGCAATATGCTCTAGACACTATTTTCTTTTACTGTTGTCCGTATCCACTGATTTTCCCCCACCCCTTAAACTTGCCTAATACCAAATAGCAATTTTTATACTCCAAGACAAGATGCAATTGGAGTACTATTAAGTCCTACATTATTTAAGTTAGTTCAGCTTGCTCATTAACTTGAAGGTGAGCAGTTGAACTCTTATTATTACTACTTACGTCAAGCAATATGGGAAGAAACTACATGTCACACTGGTGTTGGAAAGTATGTGCACAGAGAGCCCTTTCTGCCTCCTTTACCCTGCTGTTTGAGCAGTATTTAGGTGATGAACTGAATAAGGACCCACAAATCATTCAGGACATCACGAACACAGAAGTTGCCTGACTGGATCAGATCTCAAGTCCTTCTAGTCCACTATCATCTCTCCAATAAAGGCAAGCACCAGATGCTTTGAAAAAAAAGGACAAGAACCCCACAGGTGGCAGATTTGGGACAACCTGCCTCCACCATTAGATATCTTTACTAGTTAGAGATCGATCTAAGATATGCGTACACCCTCCAAAATGTTATCATTAAATATTCTATCTACTGTGTTATCCACTTGAATTTTGCCAAGTTCTTGGACTCAGTGACTTCTTGTGGCAATATGTTCACAAGCTAATTATGAATTTATCACCTTTTAATATAACTGAATATCCCATTGTTCTTGTGTTGTGAGACTGGAAAAATAGAAGTTTCTGATCTACCTCCTCTATACCATGTATCATTTTATGTACTTTTAACATGTCCCCTCTTACTTGTCTCCTTTCTAAACTAACAATCCCAATCTTTTCAATGTCTTTTTCTTATGAGAGTGTTTTCATGCCCCTAAACTCTCTCACATTTCTCTGAATCTTCTTTAAGTCTGCAATATCCTTTTGGAGATGGGGTGACCAGTTCTGCACACGGTATTCCAGATGAGGCTGCATCCCTAATTTATTTAGCTGGATAGAAAAATAGGGTCATTTTCCCTGGGTTCACCAAACAAGAACAAAATGCTGTTTTTTCTGACCATTTTGATTTATTTCTGTAGTACATAGTCCTGGAGTCTCCGTATTGTCATTCTGTGTGGCTTTGTGCAACGTAAACATCTTAAAAATTAATGGCACCATCTTTAGTTTACATTAGCATTAGAAAAATGATGTTGACTTGAATCTCATGTGATTCTTAATTGTTTCTAAGTTATAATGTTGACATCAAGCACCAAGACTATTTTTCCTGCTAATTGCAATTCTCTTACTGAGAAGATAGCCAGTAAGAGATCCTTAAAACAGAAACAGTTTACAGTATTCATCAGCAGATGGAGACAGGCAGATGTGGTAAATGAGGCAAAATTGCAGACTCCTCTATGCATGTACATTTTGTAATTATCATAAACAGATGGACATTCAAGTCCTAGTAGAATTTATACAGAAACAAATGCCAATTCTTAAAAATACAAATCAGGATGGATGAAAATCGATAGTTTAAAAAAATCAGATTTATTAATTGCAGTTAAATACAGGTTTATTAAAAACATTTAAGATTATATTTGAAATTGACAACCTATGTTAAGATATAAGCTCATTATAAAATATTAAAATACAAAATACAAAAATATTAAGCAGTATGTGTTTGCTGCCAAGTCCAAGAACTAGGCACCTTTCAGTTCATGCTAGCAGGGTGTACACAGGGCAGTTATAACCTAACACTTAAGTGTGTACTGCAACTCAGACTCCTGTAATCTGCACTACAGAGCTGTGTAGACAAGCCCAAAACCCACCAAAGTTGAACCACATAATATACAGTTGACATCCCTTGTGGAAGTATCATACCAAAATTTAGTCTTGTAGCACTAAACTTTAGGAAGGATGATTTTAACAACGGCAAGATTATAGACTTATAGAAAGAGACCTTCTAAAAATGTTAAAATGAATTACTGGCACGCAAAACCTTAAATTAGATTGAATAAATGAAGACTCGGTACACCACTTCTCACTTTTTATCCAGAATATAGATTCACAGAATTTAAGGCCAGAAGGGATCATCAGATCATCTAATCCAAGGGTCGGCAACCTTTCAGAAGTGGGTAACCTTTTCTCCTTCTATAAGATGTCATGTCTGACAAAAGAACATAAATGGTCAATGATGCCAGCCTGAGATGTGCCAGTGACACCATTTAACACACACAAATATCAAACAAGCTTTTAAAAAAATTATTAAAGGAAAATATCTGACTTCATTTATATGCAGGTGTTAAGAAACATTCATAAAAATCTCTCATTTTTCAAAGCAAACTAAAAGTTACATTAAAAAAGGTCTGACATTAATAAACTCTCTGAAAGACTGAGCATCCGTCACTACTAATCACAGGGAAGTTTAGAGCAAAATTTCCCATTCAAAGTTATTGTGATTTGGAGGATAAATAAAAAGGAGGCCCATTCTGCATTGTCAAAAAACCCAAACCAAAACAGAAATACACTCCTGAATTTTTCAGACATTAAATGAAGTAAGATGCACGCACTTTGATGAAAATATATTTTTGGTAAGGGGCCAGTCAGGGAACCATTGTAGTCAAAAGTTCCAAAGCAGTGGTCAACTTGGGTGCCCCTAATACTGTGTGTGCTCATACAGATGTCTTTTCACTTTACATGAGCAAAGGTAGGTGTAAATACACACACTGAAAATCCAGCCCTATAACATGGTGACTGGTGGGGTTCCCTCACTCTGGTGGTGGAGGGTCAAAACTGAATAGCTATAATTGAGATGCTGGCTGCAGTATATAAATATATATATATATTTTTAAAGAGATGACTGAAGGAACATGACAAAAGCAGCTATAAAATTCCTTACAACTTACTAGCATCTGGTATTGGCTGATGTGTCTGAGACTGGGTATTAATTTAGCTACACCACTGGCATCTGGTAGGTTAACTCTTGAGTTCCTAAATATATTTTATGAAACAAAATGAATGTTTTACTTCCTAAGAAGCTCCCATTATTAAACAATTCAACAAGCCAATTCCTCCACTACAGAACACAAGTATTTCTAATTAGAATCTATATGTTGCCTTTACTTTTTTTTTTTTTAAATGTGGAGTTATTTCTTTTAAAAAAGTCAAAGTCAGTACTGATTAGAATAACTCCCTCCCCCAATGTTTTCAGAAAAAAGTCAGAGTTACAATAAATCAACTGAATATTAATCAAACATGTGCACACTTTACTATAAAAAGTGATAAATGGCACCATCTGTTGGCATATCATTATGTGCAATGATGTTATTTAACATTTGGAGCAGGAACACATTTATACAAGGCATATTTTTCAAAAACTGTCCCAGATTCAATCTATAATTGAATGCGTACAATGGGTTTGTTAAAGAGGCACAGATACAGGACATTAAAAAGCTGTTGAAACAAAAAGATTTTTATTACAAGAATAAAGATGTTGAAAGGAGGTATGAGGGTACTTCGCTTCTAGAAAGCAATGGAAGTATATCGTGTGGTTAAACCATAGCAGAACCAACCAACTGGTGTCTCACATCCATTAGCACCATCACCACCCTACTGGGGAGACCTTGTATTCTTTGGATTATAAAGAAAGGGTAATTAATGACAAAACTCCATTGACTTCTGCAGGTACAAGTAATTTGGTGATGGTGCTTCTTTGCTTCTATATTAAAGCCTTTGCAATGAATAATCTCAGATGACTA